TTCACCGGATATCAGTTTCATTCCATTATGTATGCTCAGCATAAAATTGCAGCTTCGTTTATCTCTTTTTTATTGCAAAAACTGCGTAAGGCTTTCTTTTTTTCTCCAAAGTACATTGGTACGTTCGTAGCTCAGATTTATTCTTCGAAAGCAATTTCTGTTTTTCCATTTAAAGCATTCCAGACTCACGGTACGTTATGATAAAGAAAAACTAATTAAGGAAAGTATTTGTTTTCATCTGGCGCGCGGTCTCATTAACATTTCGACCGACACGCCATACTACCAATACCTGAATGTGCCCTTCAGAATTATTAATTTACCGGAGTGCTTGCAACCGAAGATTTAATTAAGCGCACTCCTTTCAACAAGAGAGCGAGAGAGAGAGAGAGAGAGAGAGAGAGAGAGAGAGAGAGAGAGAGGAAGAGGGGGGTAAGGAAGGAATAGATAATAAATCTTCATCCAAGCTCTCGCCGACAAGCGCGTAAACAAGATCAACGCGAAAACAATTCTCTAGCTTCTCATCCTCTCATGAAGTACTCTTCTTCCTTGTATATATACATCCTCTTCAATTCATTTGAGTAATCTTTTCCTTTTCCGCGCTGCACTCAAGCATTAATCACTTCCTCTTGCCGTTATCCTTTTTTTTTTTACAAATTTACCGCAAGGAACAAAGAGAGAAGAAAAAAATTGTATCGCACTGTGCAAAGCCAAGCAAATAAGAATGAAAATCGACGAAGCCAAAGCGTAGCGCGCAGTAATAGCAGTTGGATACACATCGCGTGTAGCGGATATTACAAAGCTCGCTTGCTTCTTGCATGCTCGAGAAGCTTACACGAGCGCGTAAGTTATGGGCGCGCATAGCCGCCTCCTTATTCGCGCGTCTACTCGCGCTTAATCTCGCGACTTGGCCGCTCGCGCGAAATTTTTGATTAAGTGCGCCGTCGGGAAATTGAACTGTGCTCTCTCGCACTCGCACGAGATGGATCTTGCCTGGGCCTTGGTAAAATTGAAATTCAGCGGTCGGGCTTTGACTGATGGCGGAGAGATCCATTTTTGGGACTTCTGTCTTGCGTCATTTGCGCATCACTTACGAATATGTATCCGAGAGCGATGGAATTCACGTCAAAGAATAACGTCAGTGCGATAAAACAACAGTTTGTAATGTACAAATAAGCACGAAAAAGGAAAAAAACATCGGGAAGAAAAAATGGGCGAATTTTAAAGCGTCGAGAAAAATACAATAAAAGAAAAAAAAGAATAAGCAAAACAGTAGCAGCACAGACATAATAGAAGTTTCCAACAACGTGAACACATTCCACTCGTTCTGTATACGTAATTTGGGCGTAAATGAATTTAAGAGAGCGTTTAATGGCGCGTAAAAGCAAGCGTCGCTGTCTCGTACTTTTTACTAATTTTATCAGAAGAAAAGCAGATAATGCTTTTGTCGTATGTGAAAAATTTATAAAAAATTTTTACGCCAGAATTCAGTTCTATCGCAGTGAAATTACTTCAAGTAATTAGAATACATAGCACGATGATTTTATCTCTTACTATCGCATACATCGCTTGAAAAATTGCGAGAAAAATGTCAAAATCAAGTAGAACGAGTCGACTTTCTTTTTCCCGTACCGGAATTTCCAGATGGCTTCACCTTGTGTACACGCAAAAATGACGAATTCGAAAGATGAGAGGGACGCGAAAAAAGTGATAGGGTCAACGAAGAAAGATAAAAGGACGAGGCATTTGATCGATTTTTCCTTGTTAAACATCGTTATTGGCAATCGGTGCGAAAGACTGAGAATCGGCGATGATCGCGTATAAACATTATTGCCGTTCGACCCTTTCTGAATGCACCAGTTCACAATCAACACCTCTTTTGTCGGCGACGTGCAAATCAAAGTCCCTTCCGATATATATATATATTGAGGGCGGCCGATGATCAATTATACCGTAAAATGTTTAAGGTTTCTTATGGAAAATTCCTATGGATCTGAGCACCAATTCTCTTACATACGCTGCTTGGAATTTTCATTGATGCTTTAGCTCTCTACTGCCAAGTATACTACACTTATAATATGCGAATATATGTGATTTACAGAAATAATTATGGATCAGTTGTAAAGTTTATGTTTTAATATATTGAATTGTCTTATAAAACCATATTTTAGAAGCAGATAAAGATATCTATTACAAACTTCATATTATAGTTATAATAATCACTTTTTCAGATTGAAAAAGTATGTTTTATACGGCGAAGTATTCAGAACAGTGCTTGGATTCGTATTTTCTATAATTCATTTCATTTTCCACTATAATATATTCGATGGTATTATCGAGACTCAATTAATATTTTGAAGTAAGTTGAAGTATCATTGAGTTGAATTATTATCTTTTTTTCGCCATACAATTCCACTTTTGAATACGCACAGTACATTCTTTCCTGAGTACTAGATATATAAACCTAAATGTCGATCGTCAGTTAAATTAAAATTTATCAGAGTGCAAGTATCTATTATTGTTGAAAATTGCTAACGCTCTCTTGAAACTCTAAAAGGCGTATTTTCGTCAAATAACTATCAGTTGGTACGTAAAGTACGCGACTTAAAAAATAAAAAGCTCGGTTACAAGTAAGTCTCATGTATTTTTGGGAAAGATTTGCAAGCATCAGCAGCTGAAGTGCAAATTTATCAGAAGCAGCTGGTGTGTGCGCGGAAATAGAAGCCAAGCCGATATGCCGAGAATGTTTGGATTCGGGTCGCGTTGTGTTTGCTCAGCCGAGTGTCCCGTCGTGCTATGTGGCTCGCGCTCTGCCAAACTTCTTGGTTTGCTCGCATTCCCGCGCGCCAAGCGGCATTAATTACCACATGCTCGTTCTCATTTCCTCGTGCCTCGTGGTGGCTCTGTACCCCATTTTCGTTTGGCCAATAATACCCTTTTTCGGACCAACTTAGATACTTACACTATTTATCCAATATTGTTGCATTAATGTATTTTCTTTTTTGTTTAAGCTTTCACAATTTTCGACTTTTTAGCGTCCATCCGACTTTTACTCAAAGTGCTAGAAGAAAGTAATAAATAAAAATAAAGGAATAAAAACTCATAACCAATAAAAGAATTTACGATGATGTAATTGTTCATAGGATCGTGAGAAGGGTTGCTAAGTGCTGTTTTGATAATTTTATCTATTTAAGAATTCGAAAATAATTTCAGAATATTTCTAATAAACATCTTTTATTATAGATACGAATTTGAGTTTCCAAAAAATTAAAGAAAAAAAAGTAAAATCCAGTACTTTTTATTATCTGGCTTTTGTTTTTGATCAGGTAGTTGTTTATCTGTTTAACACTTTCCTTATTATTTTACGTTTTTGTTGACGTTTTCTTATGATTCATAACAATTACAAATTTTTTAATACAACAAAAACAGGCTTAAGATAAGATATTCATTTATTTACATATTATTACACTTTCACTGTGATTCAAATTATTATGAATTTATGAAGTGACAGATTATCAAAATTAATGGATCTTACATAATTTTCTATATAATATTCTAAGATTAATAAAGTCAAGAAATTTATATTATGGAGCGTGTTGGAAATTTATAAAAAAGCTATCATGTTTGAATTATCTTGTCAGGATACAAAATTATTTGTCCTATTAATATTACTCTTGTATTTATATTCTTATCAAAATACTAGTTATGTTGGCTTATAATAGCACATTGATTAAAATCTGTGATGCAATAAACGTATTATCAGGAACATTCAATGACGAATGTCCGGTTCCCAGAGATGCTGCGTGAACATCTGTGTGAGATATGTTTTTCGGATATGACGTTTCTGATAATTTCTGATGATGTGTGGTTCTTCAGACGTAATTAATACTAATTTTATTTGTTACTATTTATATTTATTTCGAATTTCATTCTTCATATTTCCATTACTTGAATTCGAATTATGATATTTGAAATACTTTTTAAGCGTTTTTTTTTGTTAAGATACATGGAGTAATTTAACAAACATACAGAGGATTCAATAGTTATCAAAAATCATTTATATATTCTGTGGTATTAACAATATTCAAGCTTACAATTTAATCAAAATGTTTCATGTATGTTTACATTTCTACCGAATATTCGGTATATAGAAGATGTTATAATTTGTTACGTACTAAAGGCAGAAGTTAAAGATCATAAGAAAGCGCACCAATAGTTTAAGATAAGAGATAAGAAAACAGAATATAAGAGTAGCGTGAACTTTCAAATTTTTTCAGACAGTGCACGATCTTCGACTAAAGATGGAACTTTAAACTCGCAGCACTTGACTCATTTTGATGTACACATTATGACAATGTAATTTTCAAAGTATTCCAAGTCATAGTTGATTGCGGTTTGTGCTAAAAATTAGTTTTTACGAATATATGTAGTTTATTATAAAATAAAATGGTAGCTTGAAATTTTTAGTGAAGTGATGCAATTCAATTAATATTTATTTATGTCAGTGCAAAGTATACCATTGTAGTACATTTATTGAAACTTCTGAAATGATAAAGAAAAATCCCTCGGTAGTTACTGATAAAATTGAGTGAAAACGTCGGTTTCTTTTGCGCAATCTATGCAGCATATAGTATTTGCGTCTGTTGAAAGAGAATCAATTGTTCGTCGAAGTTGTTACTACAAGTGTGTTGCCATATTTTATCACAAAACGTTCGTGAATATGTATTTTAAAAATTTCTCGAAAAACGTAGACTATTCCTAGTAAGAAGTTTGAGTTATTTGAACGATTTATTAGTGAAAATGCTGTTGATCGAATAGCAATGAATAATTATCACAAATGTATTTCGTTGTGTTCGAGAGATAGAGAATTGACTTTTGAGTATGAAACACAACTTAGAGCAGAGATAACGAATTGAAGAATCGTTAAAAAAAGTGATGAAACCAAATGTGTGGTCCGAAGCATAATGACTTTGGGACATTGAACTAACAGATGTAAGTAAAGGAAAAAGAATGTGAATACTCTCGAAATTTCGCTTATTCTTGTAAGCTTATAAGGGCAAACATTTCCTTTTACGTCGTTATCGAAACAAAATGACGATAATAATTTCGAAATGATCAAGAATTTTCGTATGACTTTAATTGTAGTGTCTTCTTGTATGAGTATGTATTTATCCTCTTATCGTCACAGCTATGTCAATAATCGACGTAGGTACCAAGATAAAATATGAATTGCTGAAAAATATAACTGATAATATTCGTTTCAGAACTACTAAACGCTCAATAGAGTTGAACGGTTTCAGCAGTGACATGTCAATTCCGTATTTGCAATACTCGTGAGTCATCGCATTTTTTTAAGATTAAACTTACGAGTGCTACATAAAATCCAAATAGTATCAATGTGTTTATGCGAATCTCAAGAAAATTACAGTACGACATTACATTGGGATTAAATGATTAATTAATAGTACTACAAATTCTCTACTGAAAAAGCAAATGTCACGATTTTCGTCTTACGCATATATAAATCGAGTCTTTATTAGACATGGGCTCCGTTCATATATATTAAGATGTTCATGCGCGCGAGAGCCAGCGAGCCAGCTCACGTCTACACGCACAACGATAAATGATAAGAGAGTGAATAAAAGTCAGCATCTCTTTTCGGAATCGTGTTAAACGGCACACGGCCTTTCGACCATCAACGTTGATTTATTCATGTTGAACACAAATGTAAATGTAAAGCACAAAAGTGTCAGTGTGTTTATAGTGTGTGTCTGATAAGTTTTGTTTTTACTGACTGTTTCAATTAAAAGTATGCATCGTAATTACTTCATATCGCACAAATTTTATTTCTTCGCTGTCGGCCAGTTTTTGGTGAGTTTTCTTGCGAGAAGTGATGTAATTACTTGGCGAGTCAGAGACTGCGTTGTGATTATTAACGGAGCTTTTTTTATATTACTTTATGTTTTTTCATGGTTGTGAATTCAATTAACGAAAATTTTCATAATTGTGAATACTATTTTTTTATGACAGTTGATAAAATAACAAGTCTGAGGAAAAAAGTGGATTTTCATTTTTTTTAATCATTTTCCTCGGTAACATTACTTGAACATTGAAGGAAAATTGTATCTTAACAACCCATAAATACATGAAGTATTTCAAACAACACAAGTTTAAATGTAGATATGAGAAATTAATTGAAAGCCAATCTAACTATCATTACATTATTTATTTGCAAATAAAGCTTATGATTTTGTTTATCGAATAAATATATATCTATTTTAATAACTCAGAGATGTTTATACGAAATTCTTTTACTCATTTTTATTTTTAGATCTGCAACACTATTTTCAATGTTAGTGCACATCCTGGAATTGACAATAGTTATAAAAATAACTTGCACAGTTATATAGAAAAAGTAATAATTTATTAAATATGATTAATACGTTCAATGAATAAAAAAATGATTTTTATTGCACATGTCTATTTACAGAAAGAAAATTTGACCTTGACTTTAGAAGATATATTTCCTAACTACATTGTTACAAGTGAATTTTGCGATGACGATTCGTGCAAACAAAGCTACGAGGTGGCTAATTATCCTTACGAACAGATTACAGATGTGTTCCCGGAAGTTTCGAAGCGATTGTGGGTGAGTATAGTATTGTTGATAATTTTGTGTGCTTTACACGATAATTATTAAATTCAAACGCATACGGATAACAGATTCTGTTCGGAATGAGGAAAGAGAATAAGTAATGGTTTAAATAACTAATCGTTGAAATTTATTTGAAACAATTTTGATCAGAAACACCTGAAGTCTCACACTTAACTCAGGCGATAAACGACGCGAAAAACAAATACAAAGATTCAAAATACTTATATCAATATCAATACAAACAAAATTCAAATACAAAACTTTCGCACGCGTGCAGAGGCGACTTGCTTACTCAAGAGCTCGAGAAATTTTGCCCGAGGAACCCTTACTCAGGTCATTTATTGGCCTTTAGCCCTCCTCCCTCCACTCAATTTTTCGCTTGGGACTCAAGAGGCGTGCTTTTCGGAAAATCGCGTGCTACCAACGTGCCCGTTTGCATCCCCCTCTCCTACTTCTTCTCCATGCCAATCGGCCTCAACGCCCCTAATGGTGGCTCTCCGATCCGCATGTGGAATCACTTGAAGTGAAACCCCCTTTCGGAAGTGACAGCCTCGGAAAACCTTGTCTTCCGATCTGCATTAATGGCGTAGTGGCCATGGGTCCGCACGTATGCGCCCACGCACACATAGAAGGTATCGGAGAGGGAAAATAAAAAAGCACAAACGGCACCTCAATATTGTCACTGCATTCATTGGTAAATTGATCAAAAAACTTTCTTTTAACAACTATGTTTGAATCTTCATTTTCTCAAACACGCGGCTTACAAAACTACGCATAAATTAGGCTAATAAGACATCATTTATTACATCGCAAATTATGCTAAACACTCATTCTGTCACCCGGTTCGGTTATAAATATCTTACTTTCGAAACGCTCGAACGGTTTACAGATGTCGCATAAAAACTCGGACGTGCCTAAATTCGAGATCAGGACAATTAAAATCATTGGGAAGCACAGCCGCAAACAATAAACCAAAACGTGTTCTCACTGTGTCTAGCAACGGCCCGTCGGCAGGCATGTTCGCCATATGCGATCATCTGCCTTTTACCCGCGCATTATTTCTTCGTCGTTCTGAACAGATTTTTTAATTAATAATTAGGAACACACTGAGACAAGTACGTTTATCATAACAAATCGTGGACGAGAAGAAGACGAGGATGAACGGACAGAGGTTTTAGCCAACAATGCCAGTTTTCGGATGCAAACGTCTGTTATGGAGCATGCACCTGAAACAAACGTATACCAAGTGAATTTTTCACGGTAAATGAATTTAATGAAAGATTTGGTATTTATTAACTATATTTTAAATATTTGTTTAGTCAGGATTGAATAAGACCTTAGTCTTGACAAATATATGTGAAGTATATAATAAATATGAATTTATATTTTTTTTCTAAGGGTTCCGGCTTACGGTTATTCGGATACAACGAAGACAAGTAAATGTATTGAAGTCGTGAGTAAAGATATGGAGTATTACTTTTAGAAATTATGTAATAGTAATAAAAGTTAAATTCTATGAAAAGTGAGTCATGGTTAAAAGATTAACAAATAGTGATAAATTTGCTTATTTCCAGCGTCAAACAATTATGCCGCTGAAAGGGAAGTCTCATGGTAGAGAGTATTATATCACAAATATTAAAACTTACTCGCAAACACTTACTATCATAAAGTGTTTGTAAGTTGACGCATTTCCCTTTTTATAAAATTTATATTTTGAATTACTTAATTATTTATATTGTTATTTATCTTCTTTTCAGTCGAGTTGGTATTAACTGTGGAAATAAAAGTCTAGATCCCGAAAACATAACTTTCAATTGTAAACAAGAATATGAAGATGCCGAGTTGTCATCTTTTCCGGTTGGTGAAAGTATCTCATTAGAATCTCATCGAAAGATACCATTTAAAGTGCCGAAAGGTTGCACCTGCAGTATGACTTGGCTATGATAAATATCTTACGGTGTACTAAATAAAAGATTCTTCAAACGGTATTTGTAGCTCCTGGCAGCTACTATTTTCAAGTATATCTTAGCAAAGTTCGAATCAATAATACGAATTTTTACTCTCGGAAAATTGGTTACAAATACGTTAACAATAACAAATTATAATTTTATACATTTTTTATTGTTCTCTGGAAAAAGAGTCAACTAAGTTCATACCCAACCGTTGCTATCCGTTACGTAATCGGTATGAAGATTTGATAAAGAGATGATTATTCAAGAAAAAAATTCTAGAAACATTTATTGCAGCTTATATATCTTATAGGTCTATAAGTTTAAAATGTATAAGTATTACAACAAATTAATTAGTAGATATTCCCTAGAATTTGTTTGGCAATTGTGATATACATTTTCACCAGTAGCGTTATATAATTTTATACAATTAACTCATTGTAAGATTGTACATATACTAATTTCAATTAGAAATTATTATTATCATGATATATATTATGATACACACAAAGTATAAATAATTGAATAAAACAGATCTAGTATTTAAGCAATAAACTCATGAATTCGATAAATTGCGTCAATAAGTTTGATTTGCTTACCACTTTCATGCACACGTGTGTTTTTCATTTAATTATCAAATTAGAATGTTGTGGAGCAGAATTTCACAATGGTTCAAATTCGATTTGAGGCTGCTGTGGTACTTGACGCATGCGTACAAAAATAATATTAAAATTCATCTATAAAAGCCAATTAGATTGATTCATGCCCATAGACACTCTACAGGTCGTATGAGTCATTTACTCGTTAATGTAGGTTATCTTGTAGTTTAGAATACTTATGTATGTTAATAGGACACATTATTTGGTCCAAAATCAATGCACTCATTAATTTGCACTTCACGACACCTTACTGATGGAAGTTGTAAAAAATACATCAAAAAATACTTTTAGCCATACTTTTTTTTAATGAACATACATATGTGTATTCAATAAATTTTTATTGACATTTTCAATTTGAGATAGCTTGTTTTGCGTAAATTAAAAATAATCCACCTCGCACGTACAATACACTTGGACTGTTTCTTGTAAATGTCATATTTCTTATAATATAAATATAATATTCAATTTTTATTGTTTTATGTAATAGATCTCTTACATGATTATATTTTCGCTCAGTTTACATTTTGTTTGTATATTATAAAAATGTTATATCGACAAATAATACCGCACTCCAATCATGTCGTTTATTATCTATTTTAATAACATTGGAAATGCACATATGCCTCCGCTGTAGTATTCCGTTTTGCTAGGATGCGCCTCTCGTGGAGACCGGAATACGACCGATGATCTCGTTGCTAATTGACGAATCGAGTTTAATAATACAGTCGAGGATGGCTCAGCCTAAACGGATATGAACTTACTACATCACAGGATGACTGACTCTAGGCTATAATAGACGTGCGATTATAAAGCCTAGACGCTCGTTGCCTTGACCTTACACTATACCGCGCTGCAAACATCTTCCTCAGTCTGGTACTGGTATCGGCTACGGTACACAAATAACTAATACAACGCCGTAAGCGAGGCAAGCACAAGTACGGTTGAGGGTTATGTTTGTATCGTCGGATTAAAGAGCCTCGGGGCCTGCTGCGTCTGTTACCTTATATCATCCCGCCCCACAAATGTTAATCGGCTATAATCGCAGTGGTCCCGTCTAAGGTACGTAGATGACCACTGGGCAAATATTTTTATTAGTACTACGGACATAGCGCTACGCGATTGTTGCGTCTTACGTCGATATTACTGTAAATGAATAAGATCAGATTTGACAAGTAATAATTTCGCATTGAATTATTCTGGGTTTTACTAGATGATGGTGAATTTTTAGACCATAACAGTTATCTACGAGTATCTAGATATAAATAGATATAGATAGTATATTGATTTTTATGAAAGAACCGGTAACGCTCACTGTTAGTGTTTTATGTCTATAAAATTTGGCATGTGATCATTATTGATATCTCAGAGACGGAAATTAATATAACTTCAGGAATCAAATTGTTGTACAAGCTCTTACACTTTCGAATTAAGTTATTTTTATTAATTTTGGCAAGTTGCATCAAATTTCTACATTGGTCCTTGGCTATTGATTGTTCAAAAAACTCATGTTATTGCTCAGGAGTCACAAACATGCCATCACAGTGTATCTAAAAATAAAAAAATTTAAATGAAATTTGAAGCAGTTTGAAATATTTGAAGAAATTCTATATGATAAATAGCTTTATTTAAAAAAAAATAGAACATACTTTTATTTGAAAAAATGCAGCATTTTCATGCTAATCCGTTTAATAAGTCGCTATCTACTATTATCTCATAATGTGACATTGAATATTTTGAACATTGTAACGCAGTATGATATCATTTCTAATTTGACATAACATGTAATAAAAATTTAATGCATCCATTAATTGTCAAAATAACAGTATCTGCTTTTCTTTTATTATTTAATTCTTTTGTAAATCGTTTATGTTGTAACTATGTACGTTATTTTCTTTTTTGTAGTACGTTTCAATTTAAACAATTCTATTTCAATTTCGTTTAACTAAATTGAAAAATAAACGCAATCTCCAAATCCTTGTGCTAATATGTCGGAATATTAGATTTTCTCTACAGTAGCCAATGAAGAGATCACAGAAACTTATTTAATGGATACTGTAACAAAAGCTCAATCAGGATTGAGATATATTTTCATTGAAATAGTAGTAAATATTCGGTCTCCACTATATAATTGATTATTTTATAGATTATTTTATAGAAACTTGTACTACTGTAGTAAATATAAAAATTTAATCTTTACTGTAAAGTTTATAGAAAAAAAGCTGGAGTTTATCCAAACAAACTAGAAAAATAGAAATTAACAATAAGAAATAAATATAACAATATAACAACTTTGATGACGTACTCTTCGTAAGCCATAATGATAGTAGTCACAATTATGTAACTAGAAATCTAAATTGATAATAATATTTTATTTAATGAATTTTCAAAAATGGATGTTTTTTTTAAATCAAAGTTAATTTACGATTTACAATAAGAAATTCGTACATTATTTTTTATAAAAGTTTTAAAGTTTTTAATGATATATACAGTTTAAAAAATATATTTTTTATAATTATCTTTAGACACAATCTCAAAGGCCCAGACACTTAGATAGTATTAATGGGAGAAGATATTTTGTTATAAATCTCGATAATCAATTTATTCAGGAGTGGCCTAACATCAGATGACGGTACCTAAATTAATATTTTATTTCATTTTATTGACAACACAATTATGGTGTCATCATATTTTTAGTGAACTAAACAAACAATGTAGGACCAATCATCTTTGGCCAGAGTTGTACGAAATTGTATGCGAGCAAATTTACAGTGGTACAATGAGGTTTTTCTCAATTCCTGTCGGTGAAGAAATTGCCGTATCAAAGCAAAGATTCACTGAATTCCGTATACCAAATGGATGTCAATGTTAATTAAGAATGATCTGAATTATGCCTTAACATTAGCCTTTTAATTACAATTTTATTTGTGTGACTGTGTGCTTTCAAGTTTTATTGGGTATTGAAAACGTACAAAGGTAATTTATTAAGTCGATAATTCTCCTAGAATTATTGTTATATTGGACTTTAGTCATGTACTCAAATTAATTTTTCAAATATGTGCGTAATTTCTCACAAAGAACATAAAACTAAATAAACACCTGGTGTATAATAAAAAAAATTACTCTGTGCTGACACCATTTCACAACATTTAAATTAATTATTACACGATCATTTCAAATTTGTAATGATAACATATCAAAAATAATATGATTATGGTTTAGCATGAATACCTACATTTTATTTTTGAAATTAAATCAATGAACTTATTTTCTATTTAAATAAGCCGATTGCGTACTTTCACTATTCATAAAGTTCGTTTTCAAACTTCTTTATTAATAAATCTCAAATCGTATTTCTCTAGTACACGTGTCGGAAGATCTGAAACAGCGGGTATATCGCATTTTAAAAAATATGTCGTAAATAAAGAACGAACTTCCCACTTAGCGTAAACAAATTACCAAGTATACATTAAGTATCATTGTAATCGTACCGAAGAATTCTTGTTTCGTGGCGCTGCGTTAGTATTAGTAAGGCCATGAACACGATTAGTATTGCGAGTTCGATCTCTTACATCGTCAACAAGTGCGCGTGAATATTGTGTTGATGACCGCTACTAAAATTATGTGATATTTTATTCGTCAACTTCTGACTGACAAATCCGTTTTATACAAATGTGTAGTTTAGAATTAATGAAAATGAATGATAAAATATAACATATCAATTAGTATTAAAGATTAAGAATGTTTCACTTCATTTTTCAACTAATGTTTATCATGTCCTGTTAAATTATATATTACTTTGTAGTAATTATATATTATTTTGTTAATGTATAGGAATCTCTGAGTGAAAAAAATGAATCTCAAAAGTACTTCAAGGTTATTACTCGATGGGTTTCTTTGCATTCTGATTTTTCCTTTGGTAAGTAACGTCTGAAGTCTTTTTTTTTTTTTCAAAAAGAATATATTTATCCTGAAAATGCAAAATCAGTGATGCATTTTTAATGCAAAATCGTTCTTGCATTAAAAACGATTCAATAATTTGATTCACATTTTGAATATTACTAACAATTTTTCTCGTAAGTGCAACTGAGAATGCATCAGAGAGAATATATTAGTTTATCACGAAAATCTCCTTAACAAGCGCCTCACCCATGTGAAAATTTTTTCCTTATTATGATAATAACAAAATTCTTTGAAAATGAACATACTGTTCTTTCTTTTTTTCTTTATTTTTTTTTTGTAAATGCACCAACTGTTGTGGTAATTAAGGTAATTTTTATGATGTCAAATTAAAAAATTATATGAATGACATGAGAATATGGTATAGTAGAAAAATTCCTTGTCACCGACCATTTATAAATTTGACTATTGATGATAAACATGATTTAGAAAAGGTATTTCTAAAGAAGTAATTCATTTTGATTGTAAATAATGTCTATATTTGCAGTTAATTCGTCGAGTTAGAGGAGGAAATAATAGAGCATTTAATCTTGAGGAATATTTACTTAGTTAATACTTAGAAGATGAAATTAAAGATGTGTATCATTCGACTGTATTGGATATGACCACATTAAATGATTATGATAACGAATATCCATACTAAAAATTGTTAAAATTTATGATAGAAACAAAGCGAATATTGCAGGTATATTATCATAATTTTACATCTGAATGTAATAACTTATGAACTATAAATTGTTTTTTGTTCATAACTTTATTCAGTCATCATACTCAGACAACGATAAGGAAAAAAATAATCCAAAAAAATTTTGGTAGGCATTATTCTGCCTATCTAAAGGGCGACAATTCAGATGTAATTTGTCTAAATCCTATTACGTTTTACCCATCAATGCCAGCTTCTGAACTTGTACCACCACCTCCACCGTTAGTTATGAGACCTCTACCACTGCGTCCAGTAGCGGCGAATTCTAGTATTCCTCCATTGAGTGTAACGTATGGGCTAGGAATGACTTTTGGAGGCTCCGGATTTAATAGTTCTGTTGTAAATGCAACCACGGACTTTAATAACCCTAGAACTCCAGTTCTAGTTAATGATCAGGCAGATGCCATAAAATCTGAAATTAATCCTTGTGAACAAATAGGTAGTTAAACAAACCCAATATTACGATTTAAATTTGTAAGTAGTACATTTCGGTGCTAGTAAACGACTTCCTCGTGAGAACTGTGTTCGAATGACTTGCACCTCGCTTCACAGGATCTATTCACTGTTTTTATACTAGTATCAAAATGCACTATTTAATTAATTTATTGTACATACAATTATCTAATTTGATTAATTCAAGATAAGGTTTGTTCGTCCTATGCGCCTGAAAAGTGTAGATGGCAAAGAGCATTTTATTTTGAATTTAGGAAGTTATATAGGAAGTGATAATTATACAATGTAGGTATGTAAAGACATCTTCAACAACACTTTCTTTATTGTATACATAATATGTATGTAGTACAAGTATCTTATACTTCCAATAAGGTACGTGTATTGCATACTGGCATTTGCTCGGATTTCGCAATTACGCGTGCTACAGCAATAAAACACGTTGATATTATGTTTATTATATTAATTCATGGAAGTTTCAGAAAATTAAGTCAATTCAAATCATAATTTCTGCTTTGTAAAACATTTTTAGAGCTCCGAAAATTTCGTCCTGATTACTATTTTCATTAGATCATATTAAATAATGCCAATTTTTAAAATGGTTATAAATAATAAAGGTAAAGCTTTTAGCAGTTCTGCGTTTATATGTACAAATTGAGAAAAATAAATTAGGACATATCAGTTTCTCAAAAAAATGTAGTCGCCATAATTACAAACACACAACCATACATATAGCTATTTTTAGATTATTTTTCAGCATTAGTTATACAGTTCCACGCTGTTTCATTGATGAAACAAAACTTTATTTTAAAGGGTAGGTGTATAGTTTTTAAACTAGAATACGTATATCAAAAAATTATATCTGTTTATATGTGGACTGGTCTTATAAGGCTCTAACATAAATTTTAGTTCTTAGATTGTAAAAATCTGATTAAGTTTATAATTCGTATGTTACTATATATATATATATATATATATATATATATATATATATATATATATATATAATTTTTTTTTGACATTGAATGCCTGATGATGTTCGCATATGAATTGCCTGATAGATATTTCGAAATACTCGTATTCCAATAATTACGAAGATTTTCAATAAATTTATCGTATTATTAATTTAATGATAAACTTTTTAAAACCTATATTGTAATTTTATTTATTTTTTTTTACTCTTTTAGACGATGTCAGAGACAATGTGTAGATAAAAGCTTATGGCCAGAACTTTGTGAAAAAGTTTGTGAGCAAATCTACAACAGTTACAAAACATTATTTTCAGTTCCTGTGAAGAAGGAAATCAACATTTTAGACAAAAATCTGCACGTATTCCATATGTCGAGCGGTTGTCATTGCAGACTAAGGAGAAAAAGTAGATAATCTATGAACACATTACAAGTTGAAATTAGTCCTAATCAAAACTTGTGTTGTATTTAATTACTTTTTGGCTAGTTACAATAAAAAATCAACAGTAGACTGTATAAAATTGGAAGTTAACTGATTTTTGAATGATTAGTTAAAAATCCAAAGTTAAATTCAAAGTAGCTAAGTTTTTGCACATGAGAAGAAAAAAGTAGATAAAATATTAATAATAAAATAGGCGAGACAATAAAGAATACTTGTATAAACATTAAATGCTCAGTTAGAAAGACCACATGTTACAATAAGTAGTTTACATCTAAAATTTTATATTCTATTAGTATTTAAGATTTTTATGAATTCCCTTTACGCCGTATAAATGATTTAAGAAAATAGTATTTAATATTTGTGTCGTGTTTGTCATCGTGCAGCAAATGTTTAATATTATTCATTTACATGATTTTGCAAATATTATTATATTTATTTCTGAAAACGAAAAGTTAATGATTATTGTAGATATACCAGAGCGTATGGGCTAGTAATAAATTAATGATCTTAAATTATATTTGATTTATAGTCATACGTCGGTACATTATTTATGAACATAGTAAGATTTCTTCTTAGAATGAAATACACGCTATATGCTACAAATTTACTTAAATAAAATTGACTTTTCAATTAAAAATACTTTGTATATGAAGTATTATATAAAAAATTACTGCATGCATACTTTTAGATAAACCATGACAATTATTTGTTCTTATTTTTTCTTATTTGTTCTTATTCTTTCTTATTCCGTCTTATTTTTTTTATGCATTACAGAATTTTATTTCAAACGTAGACCTATATAGATATACAGATAGAGCTATGAATTATAAAATCTATGAAAATAATTTTTGAAGTTAATCTTTTGGAACAATTATTTTTTATTTTTTGATTTGTATCCTCTTTTTTTTCTTTGTGGATAGTGTAGTTTAGTTCATTCACATATTTTTACTAATGATTCATTGTGCTATTTATACATTGTACATTCATATTTTACATCATATATTAAAATAATTTATGTTAATCGAAAATGACGCTATATAGATTTCATATCTTTTTATAGACAATTTAAATAAAGAATCATTTTATATTACTTCATAACTGATCTATTTTACAAGAATAAAAAAACAAATTATTTTATTCCTGATTTTATACTCGAATTTTATAATATACCTCGCGGTTTCATTTATAAACATAAAAGCTAGAGCATTCAAATTTCGGTAAGTATATCTCTCTGCCATCTAGCTCGAATATAAGACATTACAGTACAATATATTTTTTCAAAAGTATCCCACGTTATAGTTCATTTAGTTCATGAAAAAGCCAATAGTTTTGCATATATCATGGAAAATGATTCAAAATCGACGCTGTAAAAACGTTAAACGTAGAGTCACAATGGAAGTGTCAGCGATAAAGTGATAATCCCTACCAAACTTTCATCCCATACTTGCGTGAACGTGTAACCGCGAGAAGCACGTGTACACGTGAACATTCGCCGACCTATATTCGTGCTTCCCGTGCATGTATGTGCGAAGGAGTAAAAGAAGGAGAAAAGAGAAGTAAAAAAAAACTGAGGACATTCGTCAGCGATATGCCTCATACACGCTTACGTAGAAAAGCGTCGCAAGGATATCCTTCAAGTCGGAAGTGACGTAATGCAATAGCGACAAACTTTTGAACCTTATCTGATTTACGTATACACTGACGTATGCGCTCGAAACCTTATCGAACACTGTCATCATATGCGGTTTTTTGTTTTTTTCTCAAATCTTTTTATCGAGGTTCTTTTCTGACAGAGCTCAAGAGACTGTTTAACAATTTTCTCTCTCGCTCTCTATCTTTATTTCTTCCGAAAATTAAACAGTTACAAACAACTGACTGTTATTTATCTTGTGTGTTCACTGTTCTACTAACAAATACTAGTGCAATTTATTTGTTTAACCCTATCGATAAAATAATTATGTATAATCGTACAGTAAGCTGAAACTTCAAGCGTTTAGAAAAAAGAGTACTGTACGAAATAATAGAGTCTAACAATAATTATCATTTCAGTCTTGATTGAAAAGTTAAGTTTTCGCTGCAAGGAGCTCGTATTACTCCAACACGTTCTTTCCAGTGTGTTGAATGAAAAATTGAAATGATACTGTGTCATACGTGACACAATTCAGGTAGATCAATCGACTGTACGTCAAGCGAAAGCGCGCGTAAACGCAGCGTAACACGTTGGCGTAGACCGCAGAAAGTCCCGAGAAGAGGCGAACGACGTCGGCAGCGCTTAATGATAACACGATAAATGTTCGAATAAAAAGTGTCTGGGTCCACGAATGCCCATTAGACAGCGCGTGGCCTTTCGAACGGTAACGCTGAGGTCTAAAGTGCCATATCTTTAACTAATTAATATTAGACGTATCATCAAAACAGACGGGTCAAGGTCCTCTCTCTTTAGATTATCACAAGTCTAACTAATTAATGCTCACTCGGTAAAGTGAATCTGTGAACGTAATTTAAACAATAACATTTATTTAGTTTGCCAAAATGAAGCGATGCAATAAAAATCTGATATCTCTAATGTTTTTGCTCTTTGTAACAATTGTGATGGTGAGTATGAAAGATTTTTAATTTGAAGTTGGTTTCGTGGATACATTTAAACATATCCTTCATTCTTCGTAACTTGTGAATATTTATAATTTTAGAGGGGCAATTAATCAGTTGATATTGAGTTTTTAAAATAAATTAATATATTGCAATCATCGTTCGATGATGCGTTTCCGATTTCATTTACCGTTAATTCAAATGGATCTTAAAAATCATTAATTTTTTTACCCGTATTGAATTATGTAAATTTATATGATTGCATGTAAAATTTAGGATTCGAAATGTATTTAGCTAGTATTTTTATGCAATATTTTAATTCAGGGTTCAGCTTTTTATATTTATGATGTTTCATTTACGGATTCATTGTATTTCGTATAATTTGATCAGGTTATTTATTAAGAAAATTTTGATTTCAGAGTTCTAATGTAGTTCCGAGCTATACAACTTCTTATCATTATGAAAATGCTGCGATTGCAAAAGATACGGAATCGAACGAAATTGAAATGAATTCATCTATTTTCATAAGCCGTCTTTTCAAAACTGCTCCATCTGTACTAAGGTTTACTGAGAAGCATTACAATGAATTCGATGTAAGTAGTCTACTAATATTTTTGTTTTAATGAAAGCCGTTAGTAATTATCTATTTAATAATTATTTTATGATAGAAATTGAATCGATTTTCGTATACAACGTTTCAAGAACATACCCGTATATCAAATTTACGTATTTGACCACCCACTTCGTGTGGTCAAATAATATGTAATTTTGTGTTGGGGTATCCTGAAGATATTATTATAGGAGTAGCTAAATCGACCAATCTTATTTCAGACTCGCCAATGGTTTATGTATTTACATTATGCAAAGAATGTTGAAGGATATCATTAAAGCAAAGAATTATTAGTTTCAAAAATTGTTTTTCAATATAATCAAAAGATACATAAGAAATTTAACATAAATTATCAGCTTCGTGGTTTAGTTAACGACAACGGTGATTTAAAAAAATATATATTCTGCTATGACTATTTTAGTTTGTTATTGAAGTACTTAAAAGAAACTATTGGAAGTAGAATTTATTGCCCTTCAATTTTTTAGATAAGAAGTCTGTCAAGAGCTAAATTTCCAGTAGCAAGAAGTCTGGACCATCGTCACCTAAATAGCCATCACATACATTCTCCAGAGAGAGTACAAGACTGTGCAAAAATGGTTAGTAACAAATACATTGAAAAATTCAATTTTTTATGTACATCAATAAATTCTCAGTTAAAAATAAAACAAATTGAATGAGCACTTTACCGTGATTACTCGATGGGCGTTATTTAATTTTAAACATAAAAAATGTAAATATTAAAATGTATGAATATGTAAATATATGATAACTTCAATTTTTTAGATAAAAATCTTTCAGTTATGAATTAAATAATTATGAGACTTGTAGTACATGCTTTACTTTTTTATTAATTGCTAACTTGTCATCTTTCGTAGTACATATATCAATCTGAATTATTAAAAATGTTATTAGTCTAACTATATATGTGTGGTTTCTAGATCCAAGAAATTGCAGTATATCCAAAAGTGTCCGTCAATGAAAAGAATCCAGCTAAACTGTTAATTAGTCTTCCTGAATATAATTTTGCCCTACTCGCGAAACAATGTAGGTAGGAATTTCAATCATTTTAAAAAATAAGTCTGACTACTAAAATTTAATAGCATTATTAACAAATAATTTTTCTTTACAGAGGGCCAAGAGCTTGTATAGACGCTATTACCCCGGAACATAAAGTTTTTAAATGTGAAAATGCTTATATACTTCAAATCAGAGATACATTTGATCCACAAAAACAAACGATTGAAAAACAAAAGGTGTATATACCTAATGGCTGTAAATGTGGATTGCATGACTTATAAGCTGGTCTTATAATATTAAGCTGAATTTTCAAATTCATACAACAAAGGAATGGTGCATTGAATTAAAATAAGGTTTGAAAAATGATTAAAAATTAGAAAAAATGTCAGAATTTTCAAAATATAGAAATTAATGTTTCTATCATCTTGATTAATATATAAATAATGGTTTCCAATGATTAGATGATTTGAATTATGCATTATGCATAAAAATATTTTAATCTGCTGGTTGCATTACAAAAAATTGTATTTCAGCAATACCTGCTTATGCAAGATCGATGTAATATCTGGTTCATAAAATGAAAGTGTTATTGATTTGTCATTTGTGCCATTTATGTAGTTTTACTATACAAGGTAATTTATAAGTTAAAAAGATAAATTATCGAAACTTGTTTATCTGTGATAATATAAATACACGTATTTATAAATGCGTTATTTTAATTTTGATAAGTTAATTATATTTTTCAAGTTTTGTATTATAGTTTTTAGTTCATAGTAATAATAGTTTAGTTATAATATTTTTTATACTGACATTGTTAATTATGTGATTTCGAAACAAATTAATTGCACTAACTGGCATAAAAAAATTTATCTGAATGTCTTCCTACGTATTTTTAATATATCTCAAATATAGTCAAAGACTTTTTTCAATGACATAGAAATCAAATATGATAAAGTTGTCAATCAATTTTGAAAATTTTTTTGGTATAACGTCGCTGTATCAAATTAATACTTTACAAGAGGAATAAAAAAGTAAAACATGAAAATAAAAATAAAAATTAAAAAATTACTGTTATTTCTTTTTTGTTTATTTATAATATTATTACTTGGTTCCTTAAAATTATATATTATCAATATTATTTTAAATAGATAGTTTGCTCATATATGTGTGCAAATGGATTTACAAAATCAGGATAATTGAGTTTCTGTAAAGTATACGTCAGCCGTCAAAGCATAACTAAGCAATCAAGTGAAATGTTATGTTATTACAATAATCGGTTATGATATTGAATTTATTTTGCAAATACTAAATATGTTTGACATTTGAAAGTCGGTAATTCTAAAGATGTATTTTTTTTGTAATTTGCAATACGTATTAATCAATTGAGTATGTTCTGTGGATTGATAGTTTTATTTTCTTTTTGTGATATTTGTTCAAGGTAACTAATAAATAATAGTTATCAGATTTGCACTTTATGAATGAATTTATGATTTTCGGATAGTATTTAAAAAAATAATGAATAATTAGTAAATTTGCGCCTTAAATTATGAACCTATAAGTTAGATTATCATTTTGTTATCAGCAAATGTTCTACGTGTATACTATAACGACCAAATAGACGTTGGAAAGCATCTATTGCTTAAATTCAAAATGAACAGAGTTATAAAGTTCCAAATTCATAAATTCGTAGTATATTTCACTTATTTACAATAGGTTATACACAGACACCCACACACATATAACTCTGATAACTTTTTTTAACTTATTAGAACACCACTTTTTTAAATTTTACATTAGTCAGCCATTGCCCTTTCAATAAGAATCATTCAAAAAATATAGTAATGGTCTTATGTGGAGACTTTCAGAATTTGGAGTATACCGAAAGTACAAAAATGTTTTAACTTTGGTATTAATTAAAAATCAAATATATCTGATTTAGCTCTTTACAACCTCTACTAATTATATTTATCAAATGTATTCATATCATAAATTCAGAGATGTATAGTCCACTCATTAATATGATAAAAAGCATCATTTAAAGTTCTTTCTCTATTCTTTACGTCGCATCCATGTGACGCATTTTGCGAAGTTATTGTATCCTTGAAAAACATTGCATATGACGCGAAATCTATGTTGTTTCCTCCCTAATAGCGTCACAATATTATGGGTACTCCCGGTTAACGTGATCAATCGTGCCTAATAAGTTGATATGAGTTTAAATAAAGAGGTTCTTAATTGGTAGAGCTCATTAAGCAAGTGTCAGTAGTAGGTGGCTGTGGCAGCACATAGTTATCACATCATTCATAGTGCTAAAGGAATTTCACAGAAATAATCTGATACATGATGAAATATATATTTCTTTTGTTTTTAGTAAGTTAAACTACTTCATATTATATAGTAATAATTACATAGGAGTACTTTTAAAACTAACGGAAAAATTTCCTTATAAATTATATTTTACTTGAACTTTTACTGTAAATGACATTATGAATAATGCAAACTTTTAGTTATAACATTACTAAACTATGAAAATATTCTTTAAATAAAAGAAATTGTAATCATTATAATACAGCTGTGTAATATTTAAATTTGATCGATAATATAATTTTTTATTTATAAAATTGATGGTTTAAACTAAAATAGCAAAATATTTTATTTTAACACTATAATTTTTATTTTTCAACAGGTCCTTCCGAATGTACTCTGTTTTATAATCGGTGCTCACAAGAAATGGAAACATCAAGGATATCGACCAGATGTATGTAGTAGTCATTATCATATTATTATAATTAGCGACAATCTTTAACTTAACAATTAGATAAATCGAGTGGTATTTTATGGTGAATGAAACATAGAAGCTTTTATAATTACAAAGCTATAGTATAATATGAAATTATAGTAATTCTACATTCCAGTGTTTCAAATGATTTAATATTTTCTTATACTAATAGGAGATACAATTGTAAACCCTATAATCAATCTTATAATCATAAATTTTTCTCATCTTCTATTAGTATAAGAAAATATGCAAGTTATCAACAATGATTATGATATACTATTTTATTTAGGGAAATCATAATAAATCTTCTTGGCGTACATGTGTGAATACTATCGATATAATAGCTTTGAATGATGGAGAAAATTGTGCCGAAATGGTAAGCACATAATATTTTATTTTATTGATTATAATATACATTAAGAAACATTTCAACAGTTTTCCAAAGAAAATAGTTAATAATGTTATCAATGTATATTTTATTGAAAATTATACTAAATATAACTATTAATCTATTGCATCCAATTGATTACTTCATAAAATCATACTAATTCTTATTAATTATTTTTGATTTGTTGTCACAGTTCACGACAGTTAATATAGATGAATTTGAAATAACAGACGAAGTGACTGGCGTTACCAAAAAAATTCAACAAGTAGAGTGCATGTAAGTATTGATAAAAATATAGTAGCAAAATAATCATCCAATGAAAATAACCACATGATGATTATTATATTTGTAGTGCAAAATCAGGTAAAAAAAAGTGTTGTAATCATAGCAATCCACTAGATTATTTCTACTCTTGTGAACCTATAATGGGAAGTATATGTATAGGAAAAAAAGAAGATCATTGTATTGAATATTTGGATATAATTGTAAGTTGTGACTGTAGCTACCACTACCATAAAACTTTATACTAATACTTAGATATTAGAAATGATGTGGATAGATTTAGAAAAGAATATTGTTCACTTACATTTTACTAATAATCTAGTAATTAAATCACCTTAATTACTAGTAAAATAGCTTACTGTAAAAAAGTTCTATCCTGTAATTATTTTATCTTAGTATATAATTAATGGCTGTGACTATAAAAATAAGAACATTTAATATGGTTACTTTGACTGCGTTCGATGACATATGATTTATACGTTTGAATATAATTTTTCATGTATTCAAAAACGGTTTAACCAAATAATTTTATTTGAAAAATGTGTACTTGTTATTACAAGATTTTTAGTTATCATTGAATGCTTGAATTGTAATATTTACAATCTACTATTGTAACCTAAATATTTATTAATGAAAAATAAGTATTTGTCATTGAATAAACTGATACGCTTCTCTAATTAATCTTTGCATATTCTTTGTATATAATTAACAATTAAACTATTTGATATTAGAGAGTTAGGTAAAATCAAATAAATTCTAAACTGTAATTTTTAATAAACAAAATTTATTCAGCGTAATCAAGAATAATGATTTTCTATTACAATGAAATACAATGTTATTTATATTTGTAGATACTCAATAAAATTTTAATCGTTTATATAATTATTATTTTTAAACCACAATACATGTAACATTCCTATATGTTTGAAAGTGTTTTATATAATGTTCAGCAATGCTTTAACACAAGTTTAATTGGGTAATTGCTGTTTAAATGATTAAGATAGTTAAAATAATTTAAGTACAAGCATAATTGATCCTTTTATTTTCCTGTTATATCCTCTTATAATATATAATATATAATAATCTTATAAAAAAGAAAACCTACAAAATGAAGCCAGTTTATTCGTGATTGGCTGATTGGTTGAAAGATAGTCACGTGACCAGTTGTTATATACGATAGTATATATGTATGTTGTGTAAACTTATGAAAGATTAGTGCGATTTCCGTAGATGACTAAACGTTGAAAAAGTATATCAGTAATGTTGGAATGAATTGATTGATTTAATTACACGAACCTCAGAATAAAAACCGACTGATACGCCCAATACAGAAATTTGTTGTATTTTACTCTATGCGAAAGTTTAGTTTTGAATAAACAAAGTAGACAATATTATAAAGTAATAAATAAACAGTGATATTGGCTGTATTCAGTTGCACATAAAATATTAGGAAATTTAAAAAAATGCATTAATTACAACTATGAATGTTTACCGACGTATGTTATTTACATCGCGAAGGATATGATGATACAAAAGTACAGTCTTCTTAGAACTTATATTAGCTTTCTTTATTATGTTTTTGAAATTTTTCACTTTAGATGTTTTTTCAGTCCAGAACTTCAGACGATAAAAATTGTAAATTTCATTAACAGCACTTTGAATTATGAGTATATAATTACATATTTATTTACCAATAAATCATATCGTCGGGTGTAACATATCTTATATAATCATGGGTATATTTAATGTATATTGAATTATCGAATTTCCAATTTCGCCAATAAAAATTTTGATCTAATTCGTGTATTAAAATAAATGCGAAAAAAATAGGAAGAAAATAAACTCGCGAAGCGCTCTAAACGTCACTAGTATCAATAACAATTGAAAAAGTAACATTTCTGCTGCTAAAACTTGAATGTGGAAAGGGGAAAAGGAGAACGGCGCACCTCAAAAATAGAGGAAATACTCGTAGTTTCTTCTTCGAAGTCAAAGTCCGAAGGGCGTGCATACCTACACTTTCATGAGGGATAAGAGCGCAGGTTGCGGCAGATAGATGCAGCTAGTATCTCTCTCTCTCTCTCTCGGCTCTGCGAGTCATTAAAATGTAGCGAGCAAAAGGTGCTCGGCTGCACATCTCGCCCAGGTGTTGCGCTGTTTTTCTTTTGGAGCTAGCTTGTCGATCGCCTCGCCTATCGTGAATTCTGCGAATTTCGTTGGCAAGCTCGATTCTTTGACGCCTTGTGCGACGAGCAAGCGAAACGTTAGTTAAGATCTTGAATGTAGCTTAGAAATTTGTTATCGTCGACGTAACGACAAACAAATGTGACGTTATGAAATTTTTTGCGAATCAGTTTTGCGATCGTTCAATGTAACGTCTCAATTGAACGAGCATTCATTCCGCTTACATTTTTGGTATAACATGTTCGTACTTACTATTGTTCGCAAACAATGATTTTTCGCTGAACGCACATCTCGTTTCGTACAGCCAATGTACGTATCGGAAAATATGCGCTTCTCTGTTCTCATTCAAGGTAGATATAAAGGTTCATAAACTGACGAAAATGAAAACTGTTTAACCCGATTCTCAGTTTTGTCGATTGAAAATTAATTACTCGTATTAAAGTGCGCATCGGCAGCGATCCCTGTGCGTCGATTTCACATATTGTTATTGTTCTTTATTGTTCGTTTCTTTCTTTGTTGTTCACGACCTAATTCCTTTTTCCATATTTTCACAGTGAAAAGGACAAATTGCAGCCTAATATTGGTATGAAAGCAAAGCGGACAATCATGTCAAGGCTGCGAGAACTTGAAAATAGCTGGGCTAAGTGTTACAACATGCGAAAAAGCGAATCCGACGTGAATGAATCGCCGGGCAAGCCGCGAACGATTTATCGCGATTTGTCGGAGAGGGTGGGAGATGTATTGGCCGCGTTGATAATTAATGACGCGGCTACTATTTTCGCGGGGGTTGCTGCCGAATAACGCTTCTCTCTCTTGACTCTAGCTATTGCTATCGACAAGCGAATACTGCTGCGATATTGATGATCGAAGAATTCTGTAAATGTAATGACGCCAACTGAAGAGGACAGATGTTTCATGCTTCGTCGTAACTCTCTGTTTTTTTGTCTGTATGGATGAGCTGAGAAACAAAAGTATACGTTAACCGTCTCAGATTCAAGTCATAAAAATAGACGGGACAGCTTAAATCTTTTTTTGACATCATAACTCTGGAGCTATCTCAGTATAAACTTTTTAAATCAAGTTTTCTGTTTCTTTTCTCGAAGATCGTTTATGTCAAATGTTTGAGATTTAAGATTGTGAAAAATGTCATCTGACATAACGTTTCTCATACGCTAAGTTATTTAAATACTTATGTGTTGCATATGATTATTGAGTGTATATTCATGCACGTATTGCATCCACCAATGAATATATAGCCCGATGGTATTTCTCTCGACTCGTTAATATTTTAGTTTTGAAAATGTATAATACAAACTTTTTATATTTTCATTTGCCAATGCACATTGATCTCAATGTTTTCGAATTTCAGAAATACATGTGTTGTATATGAGAATTTGGATTTTAATTAAAATCGTGCGTATACATTTATACGCTCATAGATACTTTTCGTGAATCATACCGGGGAAAGCTTTCGTTTTGAAATTTTCGAATGTCAAAATGGCTTTCATCAATATAAAAGTATATTTATCCTTGTTAGTTATTTCTGAAAAAAGTACAAAATTAAGTAAAATATTTTTGCTCATATTAAAGAAACCTACTTTTCTTTCGTTCTTAACAGTCTAATTTAAATAAAAATTTACAACTCATTTTTTCGTGTTTTCAGGTAGACAAATTCAAAGTATATAGATTGAGAATGTCAAATATTGTCCAGGTACTAACGACCAGTACGGGCTTATTGCTTGAACTCCATATTAACCGAGAATATTTTGCGATCGGCGTTAACGAACCACGGGATCAATTCCCGTTGCGTGCAAGTAAATACACGGCTAAATACTCAAGAACTTCAATCTCGTGACGATAATTCACGTTCAGCAAGACTCGTTCCGACAAACAAGTTGAGTTGAATCAAATTTTTATCAGCTTTTATAGGATATTTTAGTTTTGGTGTTCTCATTTCAAATGGTATTTTTTAAAACAAGGAAAATCTCGATTTATTTATAAAATGGCGCAGAATCCATTGTATGTGCTGGTATTTATATCGTGAATTTTCACACTCGTGATTTTCACGAAAAATGATGTGCAAACATGCAAACATGTGGAATTCATTTACGGTCAAATAAATCCGCGCATCTATAACATTAATGACGAAGCAGGCTGCGCAACCGTTCACGATTGTCAAAAATGTTGTCGCCGTTGTATAGAGTCTGAGGCAGTAGCGATAAATTCTACACGCGCACTTTTGTCAACTTACCGCGGATATAAGTCGAGGATCGTTCTGAATTAACGGCTGATATATTCACGCGTTGCGAATGTAACATCCCGTGTTTGAATCATAAAGCTTGCAACTGGCCAACGTCAGCAATGAGAAGGCGTGACTTAGGGTGGAAGAATAAGGGGGAAAAAAGGAAGGCGGAGCCAAAGAACAGTCGTTAGAGTTAGCAATTAATCCGAGCGGCACAAAGGCGTCATTCATTTCGCTCTCGCTCGCCAAGAAATTGAGAGTCGGCCGAACTTGAGAATTGCTCGAATTGCCTCGCGGACTTACGATCAAAGGGAATAATTCTTCCGCCGTGTTATTTGCAGTTTTTTCCTCGCTTCCTCTCTTTGTCTTTAATTCAACGCTGTCACTTTTCAGTATTTCCCACCGGGGAATATCGCAATGTTAACTTGGGATTTTCAAAGTTAAAGTGATTTTTTTTTACTTAAATAATTATAAGAGGAAACTCACTTTCTGATTGAACGTGATTTTTTACAATTTTCATATGATGAAATTTACAAGTTTAACATACTCTCTTGGAGTATAAAAAGAATCACTTTATGTTGGAACCAAATCAAATAAATATTTCCGAATCTGCAAGCTCCAAATCACATTTTGAACACGTAGAATATTTCTTAGTACCAATTTCACATTAAAGATTCAATAACTGACTCACATTCTCATATTCTCATCGATGCTCAGAGGGCGCGTTTCGTAACGTAGTAAGGACTCCTATAAATTTATGCTTTGCGAGTATACATTTGCACTACATCAGCCGCAGGCTGGAACGCATTCACATGTATACCAAGTAGATCACACAGCTCGCAATAATCAGATTCGGAACGAATTTACTCCTAAGGATTATCACGCGAATCGATCGAACGTAGCGAAATAAAATACCGAGGAGGTATTGTCCTCGAATCAAACTTTTGTGCTTTTACAGAAGCGAACGTTCGCGCCTTCTCTCAACTGTAGACGACGCAAAAAAAAGGAAAAAAAACGAAAGAAATCACTCGGACGTAAAGTCAAAATAGAAAGTGCAGCGTGCCATGAAGTCAAAACACACACGTGCGCGCGAGAGAGGGATCGACCTCGTGTGGGGTAAAAGCACGCGTGCTCATTTGAAATTCCGTGCGCCAGCCGACAAATAAATAAGGACGAGGCTCCTTTTTCATGCAGGCGGAAGGGAAGGAAGCCAAACCTGCG